CTCTGTTTCATTATAAGGTTTACTATTAAGCCACAATTTGACGTGTCTGGCAACCACGCCAATTATTTGATCTATAACCTTGTACTGTGAGTACCAGAGCAACGGAAGTCACTCCTAGGCACTACCCAGAATACACCTACACTGAAAAAAAATTAAATTTAAAAATCTTAGCTCTTTATTCCTATAAAAGTACAATTGTTTTAAGATTTTAGCATTTTAATTAGCTTCCGACCTTAACCTACATGTATTACAATTTGTTTTTACGTAATTACTATAAATCTTATTAGATTGACGCATACTACTTCTCTGAGCAGACATCGTCCCCGGTTCTGTGTTGATCTAGAATAAGATGACGCTCCAAAACACAAATCGCAGATGTGGGTCATCGAGCGTCTGCCGCGTGACGACGAAAACGACCATGCGGCAGACCAAAGCGTCGTTGGAGAGACGAGCTAGACGCGCACTTCAAGGATTGGACCTCAGTAGCGCAGAACAGAGAGGTGTGGAGGGAGGGTTTCGGCTTTTGGCTTGCGTAGTAAGTAAAAATACTTCCATTCATGATATTTTCCACAATATTTGTCGGTACTCAATTCATTACCTCGGGGAGTATGTATGCCAAGATTATTTTCCCATACGCATTGTTATATTTCGATAATTGAAATGTTACTACCTTTATGCAATATACATAGACTTGGTGCCCTCTCTTTTCTTTCTATACGTAATATTTTTTCTTGGTTTTCAGTTACTATAGCCAATTTAACCTTCTCATATACATTAAGCACTTTACAATACTGAAATAATTTTTCATAATCATCCCTATGTTTCTTTAACAATCTTATTTGTAAGTTCGTTTCCCAAATCAGTTCAGGAGGAGACACCATGGGGTCGTCAAAAGAAATGAAGGTATTTATTTTAATGACAAACATGTCATGTTAAGAGGTTTTGAGGTAGGGCGCCTTCAAATTTGACGCTTATAGAAGCGTTGCAGAATATAATAATAGAAATAAAATCTTTATATTTTTGAAATGTTTTTTATTAAGCACTAAGGTTATCTAAATTAAGACGTTCATATAGAAGCACTACTTATTTCTTACCGACTTAAAAAAAGGAGGAGGTTCTCAATTTGACTTTTTTAGTTATAAATATTTTACGCGATAACTCCGCATTTGTGAACCGATTTTGATAATTCTTTTGTTTATTGGAACGAGGGTACCTAAATAGTGGTCCCATTGAAATTTAAAGAAAATATTCCACCTCTAAGAATGGAAAACTAGGGGATGAATTCTATTTCGCGCACTTTCCGGTAACCAATTTCAATGAAACTTGGCAAATAGATGTAGTTTCACGAATTTTTGAGGTCGGTTTTTTAAATTATTATACAATATTAGAACCACATTTGCAGTGCTACAGCCGTTACACGCGCGCTATTTTTTTTAATTAAAAAAAAATATTATTATGTAGGCAGCAAACAAGTATAAGGCCCGCATCATGGAAAGTCGTCGTCTATCGCCTATGAAATCCCTAAGGACCCTTTTCAAACCCCTTTCGAAGGACTTCATGCTGTATTACTGCGGGAAAATCCCGACAGGGAGTTCATACCACAATCTAATTGTACCAAGCAGTCACAATTTCAAATAAAACGTTCGCACGGCTGCCGTGCCACAGTCACGCCACTGCAGCGCTTCTATAAGCGCCTTGTTTGAAGGCCCCCTTAATGGCAAACAACCCTTCATAAGAGTAGTTTCAACAGTAACCCCAAATTATATTAGGCACTGAAACCTTTCTCGGCAACATTCCCAGCACTGTTATGTCCCGAAACATTGCTTTGCCCTGCTAAAGGTCACGCTCGTAAAAACCAGCTGCCTTTAGGATGTCGGGGATACACATTCATTTTCATTTATGGAGAGATTCTATTCAATGTGAACCATCGTACCTGGTACGCCTGTGTACTCCCGTTACTTGCGGTCTCTTGCGTCCACCCGTTACGGTTTACGGTCTACGGTGCGTGGATTTAATTTTCATTATTTAGTGGTTGTAGCAGTCGGGCATGAGTTCTTGTACCCATTATGTGATACGTACTAAATTAAAATTATATTCAATACTTTTTTAATTTAATAAAAATAAAGTGCGCATTTTATCACCATGTCACCTGATGGTAAGTTTTTTTTAATACCTAGTGACGGGGTGAACAAGTCGTGATGCTAGTGGTAAGCGATACGCCTGTTTATAACAGTTGCAGTGCCACTCAGAGCTTTAAACCGCAAAGATTGCAGGTGCATTGCTATTGCGTTTGTCACCTCGAGACATAAGTTGACAAGTTCCATATGCCTGTAATTGCACCCCTACCCTTCAAAACCGGAACGCAGTAATGCTCACATTATTGCTTGACGGCAGAAATAGGGATGATGGCAGTACTGCCGTCCATTAACTATAACGCGGCTAAGTGACAACTGGTCAAATATCCATTTTAAATTTTTTAATTTTTTTTAAATTTAAATATTGATTTTAAACATTTTTTTAATTTTTCATTTTGTAGGAGCTGTACTACTAATAATCTCAGTACAGAGTACTGACAAACCAACCTCAAAAATCGTTCATCCCCTAATTTGCCACCCTTAGAGGTGGAATATTTTCTTGAAATGTATAACATAAACATACATACAGTAAAAAAAACAGCCCATACAGTCGAAATGAGAAAGTCCTCTTTTTTTGAAGTCGGTTAAACCTCTCAAAAAAAACTGTTTAAAGATTCTATGAAAGTGAAATTAACCGATTATTTGAGAATTGTACAATTTGACAAGTACATGTACATAATTCGTTTTACGTAGTTCGTATATTTTTATATCACAAGGTTCCAGGGTTTTGTGTTACGTAAGTATCATACAACCCCGTTAATCTTCATTAATGAGACCTGTTAGTTAAGCGCACAGTTACGACAAAAGCTTGTCCACGTGAATGGATAACTGGTCGGCATTATAGGCTTCAAAAGGCTTTATTTTACGGCACAACGGGCGGGTAAATTAGATGCAATGTGTACATTTACTATAGTATAACAACGGCATCGATTCAAACCCTTTTTATGGCAATAAGAAAAGGACGAAGTATTTAGATTTAATTTCATTTTAATTTATTTGTACCGTTCAGGGAACAAGTCTGCTGGCAGGGAATTAAGCAGGAAATATCATAAAAAAAAAGAAAAAACGCATAACGGCGTGACGACGATGGCGCAAAATAGAGAGCTCCCGAGTTCAATACCCGATAGGAGCAAATTAGAGAAACTTTTCTGGATTGTTTCTCTGATTATGTTAAGTAAATTTATTTAATTAAATTACAGTTATGAACAAAGTAATAAGCTCCTCTGTCAAAGTAAAAAACTAGGGCGGGATACTGCGTATCGACTGGAGACGTCAATAGTGCTGCGCCGCCAGCATAATTCAGTCGATCTTGTTATCTGCCTGGTCTCGGTCTTCTAGATTCTACCCGGTCTAGAACTCATAGTACAAGAAGCCCCTAGTTTCAGACAAGGGATTTAGTGTACATATGCCACAGTTTTTTCCTCGTTATACTTGCACATTGTATAAGAAGTCTTTGCTATTTATCGTTAAATAATAAATCTGACGATATAAAGGGGTAAGGTGCCAAGCATACTGGGCCAAATGTTCCATATTGAATTAGAAAAGTTACAGGTAAAACAATTTTCTTTCTCATTTTCTACATTACGTATATTTAATATTATTATTCCCCTTGTTTAATACCAAATAAATTAAAGTAGCATATAATTGGCACTGTTTTAATAACTGGCCGGAAAAAAAACGTTCCTTGTGACAATGAATGTCCTTGAAGAGATAAAATTGCGTACTTGTTATCGTACTTTCAACGAAAGATTTCCACAAGTCCTCGGGAGTACGCACAAGTAAATTTATACAGTCCTGATGAAAATTCAAAGTGTATTTCTAGCGGAACGACAACCGATATTTTATATTTCTAGCGGAGATTGAAATGCGGAGGAAGTATCGTTACATTTTAGGATAGACATAAGGAAATAACGTTGAGACAGAAATCAAAGTAAGGTGACTTCTGTTTTGGCCTAGTTTGAGAAATTTATCTGGATATTTTTTACTCCACTTTGTCTTTTCAACTATTACAGCTTTGTATTGGAGTGCCGAGGTCGCTCCCCGAAGTCTTCAGCAAACCGAAGAGGCTGCTGAGATTCCTGGAAGAGCTAGGGGGGTACGAGTAGGATCCTGCACCCACCACATGCAAAATAGGCGCCTCGATGTCGAATTGCGGACACCAGCCCGTTACACCAAGTACCAGGTAGAGCTATGTATACTATATATACTGCGCAATGTAGAATAAGCCAAGCGAAACAATGGTTGCTTCCCAAGTTGCTTAATTTCTAATGGTGCTTTCAGATTAGCTCAATTTGTGATACATGTGATCAAACAAAATCGAGTAAATGTGTAAGAAGCAGATGATCGATATCGTATTTTTTGTCAGTGATATGTGTGATCAGACAAAATCAGGTAAATGAATAGTTATAGGACGAAAAATTAATAATTATTATTTCTTAAAAAAACACATGTTGATTTATCAAACATTATTGGCAATTTATGTCTATGCTACTACTATATACTGTATAACGTGGATTATAAAGTGGAATATCTGTGTAAAGTGGATTATTCCATTTATGGAAAGCTAACATTTTTGTCATGATCTGCTTAAATGACTTCCATTCTCGTGGACCACCAATAACGTCTAATGGACTCCTGCTTTTTCTTTCGCTGGTCTAAACCCTCTCCTAAGAGGAGGCCTGACCCCAACAGTGGGATATGTAATGGATTAATGATGACGTAAAGACCGTAGGAAAGCACTTCGATCTATTTTAGTCTCAAAAGTAGTTCCGAGCACGATTATCGGACACCCGCGTGGCGTCACACGTCGCGGTCTTAACGTGTAAATAAATAAATAGTGTTATTATATTATTAAGTATAATTTACCTACAAGGTAAGTGACGGGGCCAAAATGGGGTAGGGTGAACGCACTGACTGACCTTGAGTTGTTCCCTCGATAGATGTGTCGGTCGCTGGTGTTTATGCGTATGCCCAGGTGTTAAGGGGTTGTCGCGCCGCCCACTCTGGTCTCTCACAGACAGATGAGATGCTAAGCTGATTTTCCGTACTGCCGTTGGACAACTGCTACGATGATATCGCGTCAAAAGCGACCGTTCGCTAGCGCGGCGTAGTTGCAACAGGGCCCGTCAAAACGGGGAATATCCTACCCTCAAATCAGTGCGTTTTTTTTAGGATAGGAATAGAGAGGAGGTGAGTAGATCATTTGTGCATTTGCGAAGATGCCTACGTATCAAATCTGACAGTAAGTATTTATGAGTATTTGTAACCTGATCATAAATAAATAAATTATTCAACAATCTCTACGCCATTCTAAATAACAGCCACGGTGTGTTGAATATTTATACGCTTAAGAGTACCGCGAGCGCGCTCTGTACAAACGAAATTTAATCCTATTTAGAGAGAGAATAATAAGTAATCAAATTCAATGACATTTAGCAGACACGACTTAGAAATTAATATGGGTCGTGATTTGTCAGTTTTCTGTGAAATAGGAAAGGTTCTAAATTGGGATCAAAGGCCGTAATTGTAGGTCGAAAAAACCGAAAATTAAGGTTTCTTTTTTTATGATATCAAGTGACGTGAGGAACAAGTAGTTGGCCCACGCCTACCTAATCTGAGGAGCACTGATATTATATCTTGGTGAATCTCATGTAGGTACTTATCTGTAATTTCACCAGTACCCTAATTCTTCAAAATCTGGACGCAGAAATGCTCACATTACTGCTAGATGGCAGACATAGATATAATGGCAACTGGCAGTAGTTTCCTGGACAAACTCTTTCACAAGAAACTCTACTACTTCAAAAACAATTACTTATTTATTTTAAAACGTTATATATTATTAATTGGTTCACAAACAGTTCTTACAATAATTTAAATGTGGTGGAGATCTAATCTAATTACAGAAGCTATTATAATTAAGCATAGCTTGCAAAAACAACGTATAAATAAAGAAATTAAAAGTTAAGAAACGTTTACTATATCTAAAAAAACAACAAAATTAAATATAAACGGAAATAACCAGGACTCATGACTAGGTAATTGATGTAGCTATCTGACACAAAGTATTTCATTACATCCTAATATAGATCCTCCATTTGAGATGGATTTATAAATATATGTTTCAGTGTTCATTTTTGAAAGAACGACGAGCAATATCCAACTAAAAAGTAGACCAAAAATGTATATCCAAGTGTTATAATATGTTCATACACCCGTCAATCATTTGAAAGAATAAAAATATCTTTCCTTTATTTTCTATGTTAAACGGTTTTACTACACAGCGAATGGGTCCTTTTTGCCTGGATCCGCGCACGTTCCGCTATCACATCATTTACGTCCTCTACGCACTTAAGCGAATTAACTTTCCACATTAAGTAAATATATCTATTTAGGGAACCACCACACTTCAGTTCACTTGGTCAGAAAAAGCTTGAAGCTCCACGCAATAAGACCGAAAAATTGGGCTGTTCGTGTTGTCGGTGATCCCAAACTCACAGACTGTTTAGTGGCCTTAAGTTTACAGAGCCACGTTATTTCTCTGTGTGTGTTCTACCATCTTTTCGGACTTTTCCTTTTTTGAGAGTTACTTGGAAAGCGAACATCCGAGCGCTGCCTTTCCTTGTGAATTAGCCGCGTGACTTTAAAATCCATTTTAACCTGTACTTTCGAACTAATTACTGTGAAAAGTGGATAAACGAATTCATTACAATCAACTGAGTTTATTATTTCACCGCCGGTTGAACGGATTGATAACGAAGAGCGAATAGGCCAATTTATCAATCTACGAACGTTTCTTATTTAATTGACCTGACTAAACCAGTGATGAGGGTATCTCTCTTATTCCAACGTAAGATATAAAAAAAACTATTAAATGCCTGGCCTGATACAACTATCTTTTTAATGCCCTTAAGAAAGTCATCCCTTAAGTGACCAACATCGCAAGTGTGGTGAGTGTATAGTTTGAACGACGTCCAAAAATATTATGAACTCGGATTCAGTGACAGGAAAATTGGATTTCACCAGAAATGATTCGGTGTCCGTATCGAATCACGATTATTATGAAACTTGGCAGTTTGCTTCCACTTCAAATTATATCCATTCGTGAAAACCTGTTACGTAAGTATTATCTTCGGATCTTTGTCAGAATTATTTTTTTTTACTTAAGAGATTTGGCTTGGATACAAGCCCTTTGAGCTATGTCTTCGTTTAATTATCGGCATCCTCAATAAATATTTTCCATTGTAATTCTAATACATTATGTTTTCACTTTCGCTTAAATCAAATTATTGTCACTTTTAGATTTTTGAATTCGTGGAACTTTCGGAATAAAATCCATTGTAGTTAGGTTTAAAATAAGGAATATAGTTCTAACTTTCTTCATCACTAATTCTTTCTTCTTATTTTCTTCATAATGTACTTCAATTAAAATAATCTTTTTAAAAAACTATATTTGTAACTCCAAAAACCCGCCATTTTGTTTGTCAGAATTTTGTGATAACATCGTCCAGAAAGAGAAACATTATCACGATACAATTTACCCTTTATAACACTAATAGAAGTAACTTGCAATTTTCTTCACAAAAGTAATTATTTCTATCCATTGACTTACAATTATATGGACGTCGGGTCCGCGCTAAAAAGTGTCCGCACTTGTAAGGCGCTAAAATCGTATACAGAGCGCGACACTCCGCTTTAGTCTTCATTTGTTCTACGGACAGCGCGATACTGCGATGACATAACAATTTAAATTTCGAATTGGTTGACTTGGGACATTTTTTTCGTGGTTTTTGTATTAGACCCGTCGTCCATTTATTTGTAAGTCAATGATTTCCATCACAACAAATGAAATTCTAAATCCAACAATGTGAAAACCTGATTTCTATCAAAATTGTAAGTTACACCCGTTCGTGCTACAAGGGATGAATTATTAATTTGTTTTTCGAGAGATCCCATTTAGACAATGGCGGTGGTGTAATTATCTTATTCAACGTTTCTATGTTAATCTTCGTCTACCTCTGTGGCATTATATAATGAATCGACCACAGACCACATTTCTTCCGTGGAATCGACTAAAGCCCTTTGTCAGTGGCCAGGCAAGAACCTTCTTAATTCAAGTGTAATGAAAAGAAATTGCCACCTTTTAGGCAATCTTTTATTTAGTGCTGTGGCCTAACAATGAACATTCCGTTTGAAGGCATTCCTTATTAGTTAAAAGCTTTTATAGTATTGTTTCAAGGCTGAAAGTAAAATGTATGGTAGATTTATTTCCTATACATCTTCTCTTTCAATATTGTTCAAAATATGAGATCTGTAAACAAGTGACTTGTAAAGCGCGGTAAATATACAAACCATATTTGTTGTTGTTTGTGTTGCAAAAACATTGACTTACAAATAAATGGACGACGGGTCTAATACAAAAACCACGAAAAAATGTCCCAAATCAACCTATTTAAACGTAGTGACATGTAGAGGAATATGAAAAAGCTAAAACGTTGAATTTAAATTGTAAAGTCATCGCAGTACTGTCTAATTTTGCTTGCTTCGCTGTCAGTCGAACAAACGAAGACTAGAGCGTGAATGACGCTCTGTATACGATTTTAACGCCCTATAAGTGCGGACACTTTTTAGCGCGGACCCGACGTCCATATAATTGTAAATCAATGTGCAAAAACGAGCCATTCGTTCTGTGTACCGTTTAGGTTCTCAGGTTTCTCTCAGAGAAAAGTGTAAGTAGATTGGTATCATGACTATGGCATCACAGTCCATTTACTCAAATATTCTAGTCTTCAAGTTTAATAAGTTTACTTATGGAATAAGGACATTTTATTCGGACAATTTTGAAGCGTTGAAATACTATCACTTCTTAGTATATACATCATTCACGCAAAACACGCCCTGAGCCGTCGTGCGGCGGAATTTAAATAAATAAAGATTAAAAAAATAAATGTTTTACTGTAAAAGTCCATATATTTGTTAATCTTAGATTTTACCAGTCAATCTTAGGATTCACCGACATGAGTTGGTAAATGTAAGGATTTCTAAAATTGATTTACCGTGCCTTTGAGGTAAATTCTAAGATATACCAAGTGAATGGTGGTAAAAGTTCGAAATGAACGATGATCACAGAACTGTTCGGACTTTTAACATTGAGAGTTGGTAAATATTAGGTTTTACCGTAGTTCGGGCTTTTACAGTAACAATTATAATATACCGTTGTCTGATCACGTATAAATGTCGATACGTCATAAATGTCAGTTCGTGACATTGTCGCGTCATACTTCGTTTGGGATATTGATTGAATGATTGATCGTATTTTCTTCGATGTGTTCTACAAGTTTTCTGCCAGTTTGACACGACGATTGATGAATCCATTTTGTTTGACTAGTAGGTAGACAATTTCGCCTTGTTCATCCCATCACTTGATATTACATACAAAAATTTGATTAAATTGTCTTCAACTTCGTTTAGTAAAAACCTCCTCACTTTGTTATTGATTGCTTCGCGACAACTAAAATTAATTCATAATGAAACATTGTACCCAAAGCCTAATCTATTAGTGGCTTCTACAGAAAGTGTTCCGGATTGAAATGTTGAAAGCTGGCGCAATCACACCTACAGGAGATTACAAATCTTACGTCTCACGGGCGAAATCTTATTTCCGCTATTAAACTTACTTCCTTTGTATGGTAATGTGTACGCTTTTGTAATAAGATTCTGGTTGATATTCGAAATTTGCCATTGGCGAGGTTCAAAACTACAGTGAAATAAAAAAGTATTCTAAAGGCACCTGGATGACAAAAATTAATCGTAGTCACCCGTTTAGCTCTTGCAGTTTGTCCCGCTCTGTGAATGGAAATAAATATAGTAAATGATAAATGAGTACAAGTGTTTATT